GGACGAAATTCGGTAGCGGTAGTTCGAACGTTCGTTTAGTTTTCGGTTCTTATTCGTTTCGTTCGTTCGTTTGCAGCAAAGTGACATTTGAGGGGGAAAAAATATTTTTCTCCTTCTCTAATGTCACTTTGCTCCAACGAACGAAACGAATAAGAAACGAATAAGAACAGAAAACGAAACGAACGTTCGAACTACCGCTACCGAATTTCGGAAATGGAAATTCGGATTCGTTTGCATTTGTTATGTCTGTAATTCGGAATTCGGATACATCCGAATGTCCGAATTTCCGAAAATTCGTCCGAATTTCGATTCGGAACGAAACGAATCGCACATGTCTAATATGTATATATATAAAACACAGAGAGGGGGATTTATCAAAACTGGAGCAGACAAAATCTGGAGCAGCTGTGCACGGCAACCAATCAGCTTCTCTTTTTCATTTTCAAATCTTAACTGAACAAAATGTAGAGAGAAGCTGATTGGTTGCCCTGGGAAACTGCTCCACATTTTGTCTGCTCCAGTTTTGATAGATTTCCCTCAGACTACCACCAGTAGTCTCCCAACCTTGGAAGGCATAATATACACAGCTAAACATCCTAAATGTAACCCCTCTACCCACAACCCCCATGATCTTTAACCTCCTAATTTAATCCCTGACATTATCGATAATGTCAAAACACATTTAGATGAGTTTCTTAGTTTACAAAATACGCAGGGGCATTACTAAAGATATTCAGAATGTACAAACGTTTCCTGGTGACACTATCTGCAAGGAGTTTGCATGTTCTCCCTGTGCTTGCGTGGGTTTCCTTTAGGTACTCCGGTTTCCTCCCATACTCCAAAGACGTGATGGTAGGTTTATTGGCTCCTGTCTGAATTGGCCCTGTATGTATGTATGTATGTATGTATGTATGTATGTGAGTTAGGGACCTTAGATTGTAAAGCACTGCGTAAACTGTCTGCGCTATATAAATACATGTAATAAATATACACACATACATATATAGGTTGAATTTGATGGACCTGTGTATTTATTCAGCCTTACCAACTATGTAACTATGTATGTAACTATTCTGTATGTTTAATATTTGTTTTAAACATACCTGAAGTAGAATAACTGTTGAATACATCCCTACTAATCGGAAGTTTTAACCACTCTGTCATAGGTAAAATCTGGGGTGCTGTATTTGGCAGATGAACAAGGTTAGAACCAGAATATTCAGTGGGAAAACCCTCTTCAAGATCTATTTCACCTTTAAAAAGATAAAGAAATGTATGATTACTGCATAGAATTTACATCTGATTGCTTTTAATAAATGTACATCTTTTTTAACATACCTTCAGTCCTTGTCCCAGAGCCTCCAATACCTTCCCTAATATCACTAGAAAAATGAGGGTCAAACTCTGCAAAAAATAATAATATATAAGTGTGTGTTTCTTGTATAAAGTCAATATATGAACACTGTCTAGTACATAAACCTCAGTGTAGCCCTATTTTAAAGACTATGATTTAAAGATTACTGTCAATGTATCATAGGCAACATTAAGAATCTGCTAGGCTATATACTGTATATATTGTAAGGGGGACAGGCTAAATGGTAAACCATGCACAAGACAATGCCATCTAGGAACAGTTCAAGCAGGTTGGTCCTGAAGTTTGGCTTAGCAAAGCAATAAACAAACACAGTTAAATGCAGGAGGGATCTATACGGCAAGCCCATAGCACAAAACAACACAAGTTTGTGGCTCATCCAAGCCACAAACTTAAAGTAACACAAAACCCTCAGCTTTTTTTCTCCTTATACACATCTACACAATGAGCATTCCCCAAAGCCACATTTATTTATGTTTTAAAATAAAGTCTTACTATTTTAATCCCTTTAGTAAGTCTGTTGTGCTCGCTCCCGTTGCTCTTCTCTCCCCTCACACTTCCTGTCACTTAGTAAGAGCCGTGCATGTTGATTCTGGTCATGTACACATCTTTCTTTGCCTACAACTCCCATGAGCCAGAGAGGAATCATCTCTCACTGCACAAAACTGCCACCTCCCCACTCCTCCTCTTCACTAAACACACTGTGACAGCTTGATTCCTTGTAATCTCCTCTGAAATGCTCTGAATTATCAAACATAATTACAACAGCTTTACAACAAATCTACAACAAACATCAAATGTACAACAATCTACATAGAAAAAAAACTTTATTTCAAATGTAGTAGCTGTATACCCTGACTGTCTGACCAGATTCAGCATGTGAGCTGAGGCTCAGAAGAAAGTATGAGCCTGGAGACAGCTCACATGCTGAATCTCGTCAGAAAGTTTGGGAAAAAAGGCTGTGATCACAAGCAACTCACCCCACACTCCCTCCTTGGTAAGCCAGGCGGAGAGAAATCAAAGAACGTATATTAGTATGGGCAGAGACTGAGGAGAGGCAGAATTACAAGACAAGCCCTCAGCGTGCTGTAGTCCTTCGCATGAACGAGCACAGAGGGTGGCTACTTTTCAGCTCCCATAGGGACCATGGAGAAGAAAAGTAGCCACCCTTTGGCAGGAAGCTGTGGCTGGAGAAAAGTAAAATGGATTTTGGGGCTTTTAGGGCTGAATGACAAAAAAAAGGTACACAGTAATTTATTATTTATATAATAGAAGTTATTTTTATTATTTAATTTCGGAGTTTAGTGTCGCTTTAACTTATGTCAATTCCTAACTAACAGGGTGCCCCCTAGTGGGTTCCCTGAAACAGGTAGCACATGTACCTTACTTTACTGTTCTTTCAGAAATTGGCCTTCTCACTCAACAGAGGCTCTTACTTAGATGAGAGTGCGAGAAAGAGAGCCAGTGAGCCCAAGTCAGCTCGTTCATAAAGTCCTGTGCAGAGGTCACTAATCACTGAGGTGTGGTTAACAAATAAATTGTGAAACTAGGACTGGAGGCTTTATCCCACCACAAATTCTAAAGAGCCTTCAGGCTCTAGGACCAAGACCCAAACTTATTAGAGTCTAGTTCCCTGCGGAGCAATAGGCGGAAGAAGGGACATGACTGATGCAGGTCAGACCTGAACAAGAAGGAGTTAGGTGAGTATTGGATGGAAGGATGTTTTTTCTGTTGGGTTTGAAAAGGGGGGAGGGAGGGGCCAGCTAGCATAGTGATAGGTGGGTTTAGCTTGGGGGGTGGAGTTAGGGGGCCATCTTACTGTACAGTGTGAGGTAGGGAACCATTTTAGGTGGGAGAGAAAAGGAATCAGTCCCACCCACCCTCCCTCCCCGATAGTAAACATAAAAACAACAAGCTGAAATACTAAGGGTTAGTTTCCACAAGTGTGGAATTTGGGGAGGAGGGATACAATTTTTCTAGTTAGGGTTATGGGTATTCCTTTTCTGCATTTAAGGTGGAATTCGTGTTTTGGGAGATATGTCTGACTTAATTTTCTTCTAGGTTGGGCTTAATTGTCCATTGGGCGGGTCCCTGGCGGTGCCATACATCGACGATGAAGAACTGGCTCTCCACAAAGTGAAAAGGGGCGGAGTAGTAGGGAAGTGCCAATGGTGGGGCAACTGGGCTCTATAGCTTGGTAGCCAGTAAGAACTTGGGCAACTGTTGGTGGGTGTACCCACTCGGGCCAGAATATGGGCGGCCGGTGGCTGGTACAGTAAACAATGGGTCATGGTACACCCCCCATAAGTGGTGAGTGGTGTTTTTTGGCACTCGTCAGGGACCGAAGTATTTTGTTCTTGATACATAATATGTTCTGCCATTATTTTAAATGTTTACATCGCTGTGCCCATTCAACCTTCCAATAAATGTTATTACATTACGTTTTTTGAAATTACTGTGTTCACTGTGTTATTTAGGTGGGAGGTGAGTGTTACTTGGCCTTGCAGTCAGTCATGTGGTCCATTTTTAGATTGTAAGCCCTCAGGGGCAGGGCCCTCCTTACCATCTTGTCTTGAATTGTATTGTAACTGTAATGTCTTCCTTATATTGTAAAGCGCTGCGCAAACTGTTGGCGCTATATAAATACTATATAATAATAATAATATACTGTATGTGAGATCTTAATGCTGCTGTGCTATCAATGTGTCCCCTTAATTAATTTATTTGTGGGCCACATCAACACTATGGTTGCCCTCAAAGGGCCTGTAAGACTATATAAATGTGTCTAATCTTTATCATAATTGCCTCTGCATTCGATTATCACTGGTTTTAGTAATAACTTAATACCTAGATCTGAAAGTAGAAGGCTAGGAAATGGCCTGGTGGGCCGGATTTGGCCCCTGGGCCTTGAGTTTGACACATGTGCCTTAATAGATGTTTACTCTGTATAGATTATTTTACTGTAAGACAGTGAGATAGCATACATTAAGACCATTCTCCCCTGTATGCATAATACAATAATGTGACCATTAAAATAACATCCAATTGTTTGCCTAGCAAACCAGAAGTGACATTTTCTGTAGCCTCATACTAAATTTGTGCTTAATATTTATGCTTTTGCAGACATCTGCCATGTTTGTTCAGACTTCCTTTCCTTATCTCCTGTATATTGCTGTGTACCAACTAGGCATGCACCGATACCGGTATTTTGGTACCGAGTACGAGTACCGATAATTTTTTTCCGGTACTCGCCGATACCAATTAACGGAAGTCCCATTCAGGAAGCCAGGTGGCTGTAATGACTCGCCACCTGGCTTCCTGATTAAGCGCGTACGAGTACTTGCCCAAATACTCGGAATCGGCACCGATATCGATACTGGTATCGGTGCATCCCTAGTACCAACCAAGCCACCATATTTTGCTAGACCTTAACAGTCTAGAAGAGAAATTGTAATGCCACCATTACAATTGTAACACACCCATACATACACACATGCAAACATGCGTCGGGTGCACATACGTGCAAAAACGACCATTGCACCCATTACGCCGCACATGTTACATAATCGCAGCGAACGTCGCAGTGAGAGCAATAATTCTAGGGCCATCAATCACTGATAACACTAAACTGATGAGTGGTAAAAGCTTTTAAAGGTGTGCGTATGGTCAATTATGGGTATGGTAGTTGTTTGCGATTTCACAGGTGTGCACAATTTTAAAGCTTGCCATGTTTGGTGTCTATTACCAGACACATAACTAGGGACGTAATTTCTGTTTGTGAGTTTGTCCTTCAGAGTCATGGTGGGACTGTTTTAAAGCTGTGACCATCTAGTTTGTATTGACCAAGACATCTTTAGTTTTGAGCTACTTACTAATGCTAGATAAAGTACCAATTTTCTTTCTATGTGGTATTGTTTTCCTTTCCCTAGTACATGCTAGATTTAACAAAGGTTTTTTGTATTTTTTTTTTGCCATTCCCTGCGTAGAGGACAGGCTTTCTGACTGCATATGGTTTTTAGATTTTGTTGTCATGGTAAAACATAATTGATAACATAAACAATTCCTACAAGAAGTCAAGACAACACATTCTAAAATGCAGAGTACAAAACAAGAATAGGATACTTTGGTATATTTAAGGTGCCAGAACACAAGATTATATCTGGTAAAAATATAATCGTTATAGTATTCCCATGGAAACATGTTACAGCATGGTTTAAAATATTACCAGATATACACCCATATATCTACCCTTGACCTCTCGCCTATGCAGCTTCCATATTCTGTAAAGAGCAAAAAACTTTCCAGAATATGCTGATGACCATAAGTAGGAGGGTAGTTGTTTTGATTCATTCTCCAAAACCAAGTCTGCTTTCTCAAAAAATACAGGAGAAAAAATACACAATATCTACTGATAATATGACAGTAATATTCATATGCAAACATATTTTAAAGGTACAGTTTGACATATGAGAAATAAATACATTCACAAATGGTGCCATGGAATGATAAACCTACATGCCATGGGAAACTGCAGGGGGTAAAAACAAGCTATAAAGCATCAGATGCCACTAAATTCATATAGCTACATAGTATTTGTGGTTGAATAAAGACACAGGTCCATCAAGTCCAAACTTTGTGTGTGTGTGATTGTGCATTTGTATATGTGTACACGAGTCCCTTTTCCATCCTTGTTTTTAAGTGTACCTGTACCCCTGTATGTTGCGGTCTCTAAGGAAGTTATCTAAATGCTTTTTGAATGATTCAATACTCTCAGCTGATACCACTTCTTGTGGCAGCGAGTTCCAGACTTTAACCGATCTCACTGAAAAAAAAGCCCCTATGCCCCTTGTGGTTAAATCTTTTTTTCCACCAGTTTTAGGTGGTGGCCTCTAGTCTTTGTTACAGAGTTTACTGTAAAAGGTTTATTGCTGATGTTGCCGTCACCACTAAACATTTTGTACATCAAAATCATGTCCCCTCCTAATCTCCTCACTTCCAGCGTGAACATGTTTAAGTTTAATAACCTTGTCTC